AAAAATATAAAAAAGTATAAAAAATTAAAATGTCCGAAGTTAGTTATAAAAACAGAAACCTCACCTAGATTATAAATTTTGAACAAATAGGTTTGTTCGTTTTTCTCAAACATTTCCACAAAAATTGGACATAAATAAACGAAGAAAAAGATGTAAAAAAGGGAAAACAAAACCAAAGGAACGCTCACATACACGTGCGTACAACAGAATTACTATTAATTCAGTATCATTTTCGTTTAAAATATTGATGGTTGTTGATATGGGCAACATAAAAAAGCAACAGCTGGAATCTCGTCATGTACGGAGCGTTCCCCAAGTGGAATGGCAAACAACAATAAATTATCATTATGAAAAATGTTTTATCAAGTTATAGTAAATTCTGCTGCACGTTTGTGTGCAAATTTACCGTGTTGTCTTTCTTTTGTATTTGAGCCATTTCAAGGAACAGTCGTTTTTTGGAGTTAGGCTCCATGTCTAATACCTTTATGTCATCGAAATTGAAGTGGTGGTTTGGTTTGGCCAATATAAGAATTATTGCAATTGCCACAGGGTATCTGATAATTTACATTGCTCTGCAGATTGTCACTGATTTGTCTTTCACTCTAGAAAAGATATGGCCAACTTTTTTCGTGTTGTAATATGCAATCTGGCAATTATCTGTTTTTAATTTTCTCGCCAATGAATGGGATAAATTTTCTATGTGAGGTATTTTGAAATATATTACTTCATCATGTGTTGATTCGGGATTTCTTTCATAAGTGTTTTCTCTACAAGTGGGTAGTCTACTTAAAATTTTATTTATTAACGTTTTGGGATAATTATTTTGAGTTAGGATATTCTTCAGAAATAATAAATTGTTATGCCAGAATTGTTTGTCGGATAATCTATAAATTTTGAGTTGGAATTGTTTGATAATATTGATTTTACGATGCATGTGCTAACACATAATTTAAAATCCTAGTTGAGCTAGTTGGTTTTCTGTAGAGATTATGTATGATTTTATTATCTTTGTTTATCATTAGCAAATCCAGAAATGGTATAGCTTTGTCTTCGTCTTTTTCAATAGTAAAACTAAATGATGGATTTATGTCATTGAAAATATTTAATACTGTAGTTATTTTGTCATTTGGTAGAGCAGTTAGAATGTCATCTACGTATATAAATATAAGGGGAGTTCGAAATTTAATTCTTGCAGTTGAAATGTATTAAATTGTCTCAAAATGTTTGCTGTCATAATAAGGTATATTAAGTAGGGTTCTGGTTTCTAATGTCACAGCCCTGAAGATGGTGTGGAGTACACCGAAACGTCGGCATCGATTTGATCATCAATTTAACGTCCAATAAGCCAGAAACTGACTTTCATTTGAAATTGTTGTGGACAAAATTCTAACTGCCCTATTCACCAACCACCGATAACTGCTTATCAGTCTGATAAACTACTTGTCAAACTGTTAACATAAAATTCGATATTCACCAGCCTTGAGTAGTAGATATCACTCCGATAAAGTTGTCGGGCAAAATTTGGGCTGTTAAGGAAGTTATCCATCTGATATGTGTTATTGTTATTGTTTTGTTTCGAAAAAAAAATAGAATGTATCCATAAATTGGAAAGAATGGATAGTTCGTTAAATTTTAATTCGTGGAACTTTATCTTTATCTTCGTAGTTTTTATTCTTTGGCAAAATGAATAGATGAAATTGACCTGAATTTTTTTGGAAGTTCATCGGATGATCCATCAGATGAAGATCTTCCCAGGCCCAGAAATGTGAGGGAAAGAATGATTTATTGACTGAATTGGATGATTTGGAGTTTCATAGAAGATTCACAATAAACAAAAATAGCTTCCAAAGGCTGGAAATAAACCTATTGAACACTGAACCAAGTCTTGGAGCCATTGCGGACGAAAGAAATAAACCAATCTAAAAGAAATCAGATTTTAATTGCAACGGGGTCTTTTCAACTTTGTATTGGTGACCATTTCAATGTTTCAGAACCAACTGCATTGGTTTTCTTATTTCCGATTACTTTTAAATATTTCTTAACAGAAGAAATTAACGTCTCTTAAGCTGGAAGAGCAAAGTCAGCAGAATCGAAAATCAATACATGGAACATTAAAGGCTCATTGAAGGCTAATTAGATGCCACGATGAGAAATTTAATGCTCCTTAATTTTTCGCGAAAATGAGTGTTCTGCTAGCTTTAACTTAAGCTAGCAGAACATGAGCGAAAAAGTGGCTAAAATAACGAAAATTGCAATTCCACTTGCACAGACAATAAAGGCTCATTGAAGGCTCTGAAAATGCACCAATATTGAATTTCAGGCTCAATTACTTTTTTTTGTGAAAATGCAAAAAGCGCGATGTGTGAATGATGTCGGCCAAGCATGGCAGAAAAATCTCTCAGAGGGTGAAAATCAGCGTTCCGATAGTACAATCTTAGTGAATACATTAAAGGCAAATTGAATGCTGTAGGTAATGAGAAATTTTAGGCTCCTTGAATTTTCGCGAAAATTGCTATTCTACTAGCTTCAACTTAAGCTAGCAGAACATGGGCGAAAAAGTGGTTAAGTCAAAGAAAATTTCAGTTGCACATGCACAGACATTAAAGGCTCATTAAAGGCTCTGGAAATACAACAATCGCGAATTTCAGGCTCAATTACTTTTTTGTGAAAATGCGAAAAGTGGCGATATATGGGTAATGTCGGCAGAGCATGGCAGAAAAACCTGTGAGACAGTGAAAATTGCAATTTTTGTTGTTTTGGCCACTTTTTCGCTCATGTTCTGCTGGCTTAAGTTAAAGCTAGCAGAACACTCATTTTCGCGAAAATTCAAGGAGCCTAAAATTTCTCATTAGGGCATTTAATTAGCCTTTAATGAGCCTTTAATGTTCCATGTATTGATTTTCGATTCTGCTGACTTTGCTCTTCTAGCTTAAGAGATGTAAGAAATTAGAATTTCCTTTTCGAGACCAGAAAAGTTAGCTGCTCAGTTTCTTTTTCCATTTGTTATTCGTATACCATAGTTAATTATTATTAGAATTAGGAAGTTGTTCACTTGTTTCACAGCCCAAGAAAAGTTATTATTAATAAATAAATACAATACAAACCAGACAAATTTTGAGGTTGTTAAATGAAATGAAGTTAGGCGCAGATAAAAACTGTTCACAGAATATATGGATTTTTATTTTTCACTCTATGTTATCAGTCTGTTTGTTGTCAGAAGAACCATTTTTATTCGTGAATAGCACAAAAATGCTATTTACGTCTCAAAACCCTTTTTGAGTTTAGAGATTTGTTACCGGTAGCAACTAAAAAAAATCTAACAAAGTCTCTTGTTTTGTCAATTCCTGGATATCTTGATGTTGTGTATGGTCCTTTTTTAACTAACTTTAATAAATACCGTATTCAGAAAATACAAAATTCATGTGTGAGATTTGTGCACAAGTTGTCGCGCAGAGATCATGTCAGCCAATCTGTCACAGACACCTTTCATAACAACATGGGAGAGAGAAGATTTTTGCATCTCTGCTGCCTGATTCATAAAATTATAAGGATTTCTATTCCTTTCTTTTCTTTTCTCCTCGAATTGATGGTTAAGCGAGGTGATATACATCAATTTAACACACGTAATAGACAAATATTATTAAATATTCCACAACATCGCTGTGAACTATTCAAGTCCTGTTTTACCTACTTGGTAGCACCCATATAACTTTTTTCCACAGTTGTTTTCATTGAATATAATGGGATTTGGGAATAGGGTAAAAAGTGAAATACGAGATAAGCATTTATGTCTTTAATGTAAATAATTGTATCCCAATGGGGGTTTGCCACTGCCAGTATCATCATATCAGCGATATTTCATGTTTTATATTTCATATTTTATACATTTTATTTTATACATTTTATGTACTTATTGTGATGATTATTGTGATATTTTATTATATCTTTACTTGTTTTAGTTAATAAGTGATATTAAATTATTGAATTGGTGGTTATTAAAAAACGCTTTGCGGTCTAATCACCATTTGATGTGTACAGGGTTTTTCTCTTCTTTGTTCTCATCAATAAACATATTTTTATTTTATTTTATTTTTATTTTATTTGCTTTTATCGATAAATGTTAACAGACTGACAGCTATCAGATCGCTAAATCGATTTTGGTGGATACGGGCGTAAAAGTTTAAAATTAGCTTTGTTTTTTGGTAATAATGTGATGTAACATATTTTTACAGTTTATTTACATACTTGAATAGGTTTCAGATAAGAATACACTTTTTAAACTAGCAAGGTATTCTCAAAGAAGTTTAAATTAGAAAAAAGTGAGCCTTACTGAACGCCATGCTTTTTGTAATTTTTCTCAACTAATCTGAAGAAATATTAGAAAATAAATAGATATAGGCTCGGATATAGGTAACAATCTCGTCGAAATTTTCAGGTAACAAAGTAGGAAAGGACTACGTATTTTAAACATAAGAATTATGTTAGAAAAAAAAGCAAACCAGAACGAATAAATCATATTGCTTAATTTTTGAGATGTAAATTAGGCAAAATTTCAAGAAACCAATTTAAATTTTATTTTTAACATTGTTTTGCCATTTCAAGGGAACTGATGGTTCTCAGAAACTTAAAATATCTCTCTGATAATTGGCAATAAATAAGTTTCATAGTAAAGGTAAATTGATCAAAATTTAAATGGGAAATAAATACCAAAAATCTACAATATACAGAAAGTACTCGAGAAAGTATAAACCGAGGTATAAACATTCAAAACAATATTGAACTAATACACAGTAAACAGATAAATCAACATAATCAAAACACTCATAGGTTATGAATCTTATAGGTAGTAGAAATAGAAAACTTTAAATAAAAAAAAAAAATAGGAAAACCGCGAAAAATTAATTAAACCTGGAAGGAAATTATTTTGAAATTATCATGAATAACGTAAAAGTAATTCCTAAAAAGAGAGCCAAAACAGATTAAAAATGAAAATAACATACTTATGTTGTCCTGTGATGCACCATAATACTAGGAATTGACAATAAGAAAATACCATCCACTTTGATCACGAAATCAAACCTATGTCTCTCATAGTTCAAATATTAAAGTTTTTTTGTTAAACTTTCAAAAATATCAATGTTTTTTTTTTTACACTGGAACACTAAACGCGGTTTCAGAGCGAGCTTAATGTTTATTTTGATCGAAATATTTTTCTTTTCCCGACATTACAGAACTGCGATCGAGCGAGCGAAGAGCTACGTGTGGCGTGGTTGTCTTGAGTGGTCTGTGTTACTGCGGTTACTGCACTTGCTAGAGGTGGAGAACTATCGATGGCGCTATCGATAACTATCTATTATCGAAATATATCGATAGTTTTTTTTTAACTATCGATAGTTTTCGATAGTTAGCTCTAACGCCCGTTAGTAAGCGAAAGTTAGGTTCTTGCACAAAACTGAACTGCAAAAATGCAAAACAATGAAAACCGTTTTTGATTTCCTTGCTTTATTTTTCAGGGACAATAGAAAATTTTCTGACAATTATAAAAAGTAATCTGAAAGGTCTGAAAGGATTTTCAGTACTGCTGGTGCGTGGTGCCATTATTTCTGACATGATAATGATAATGATTTGATTTTATACAAAAATTCTAGGATTTTAGAATAAGATACATATTTTTAGTTTTAGAAAAAAAAAATATTTTTTTCTGCAAATGAGATATCAGAGGCGGGATTCTGTAACGGAAAGAGATCGTTATCCCTATCGCTATGGCGCTTGCTGCCTTCTTCTCTCTTTTCGAAATCAATAGAGAGGTTACGTACGACGTACGTCAATAGAGATAGCGAAAATCATGTGAAAATATCTCTATTCCTTACAGAATTCCACTGCAGATGTTAATGTTAAAGTTCAATATTTAGCTATTTCCCATAATCAAAGATTTTTAGTACACAATTATCTTTCCTTTTACCTAGTAACTTGTATTTAATTACTATCGAAAACTATCGATAGTTAAGGTCCTGTCTATCGATAACTATCGATGGTCGTGACTATCGATAGTTCTCCACCTCTAGCACTTGCACTGGTTGTGTAAAAAAAAGTGAAACAGAAAATAGACAGAAGACAGACCGACAGACAAAAACAGCGTTGCCAAATATTTGATCAACTGGTCGTTGATAAGTTAATTCAAATATGACAGGAGTCGGTAGTTTTAAATAATTGAATTTGATTTTTTTCAAAAAATAAAATTTTCCCATTAACGTTACCTATTTACCTTCAATACCAAACGACCTTTGATTGTTCTACGTTGATGCCGATGCTGGTAGCACTTTCTCTTCTAAATTTGTTTAAGTGAACGGCCCCTAGTGGCTTAAGGGGCTTACGACCGTTTCCACCAACTATTTTAGGATTTTAGGGGAACTTCACGATAAGTATTCCCTAAAATGACCTTTTTACATGGAGAAATGTCAGTTTACGGAATACTTATCGTTAAGGATCCGCTAAAATAGTTGGTGGAAACGGCCATTATTGGAAAATAATTTCACAACAGCAGAAAGTACAATACCCAGACAACCCACAAAGTCTTATGGCCGTTTCCACCAATTATTTTAGGGGAGCCTTAACGATAAGTACCTATTTCAAACTGACATTTCTCCATGTAAAAATGTCATTTTAGGGAATACTTATCGTTAATGCTCCCCTAAAATAGTTGGTGGAAACGGCCATTAAAGACGTCTTTTTTAGGTTTGCATTGCGTCTAAACGTCTGAAGAACAAAAAAAAGTGTCTAGACCTAGACCTGTCTAGACGACGACGCGACGTCCTTAATAAAGATTTCGTAAATCCAGATCTAGACAACTGAGCCACACTGGTAAAACCGAGTCTAAAAGTGAATATTGGTTTATGTATTAAAACTTCAGAACAATTTGGGAACTTCAGAACCATTTTAGAATGCTCCAAAACATTCAAAAACCGATTTACAATTTCCAAAAGTATTTTAAAACAATTCAGAAGTTTGAAACCCATTTTAGGACTCTCAAACACTCTAGAATCTCCAGTAACATTTTGAAAAACGCCAGAATCTTAGGATTTAGGTTAAAAGTTACAAAACGCCTTTCGAGCGAATTCAATTTGCTGTAGAACTTTAACCATTAATAGGCTATGTTCCGATATCAACTGCCAGTACTGCATTTACAGTACTGATTTTACTGTCATTTGCCGTTCCGATTTCAACAGCGAACTCTTGTGGTCATTCAGTACTGAATCGACTGAATCCAGTGTACTGAAAATAATATCGGAACGGCGTCCAGTAAATTCAGTACTGACAGTTGATATCGGAACATAAGCTAAGTATCCAAAACAGTTCAAATCCAAAGCAGAAATGTTCAGGAGCATTTTGGAACAATTTAGAAGCTTCAAAGTTATTTCAGAACAATTTTATAGGATTGAAATTGGAACTGGAAACCTTTTAGAACTCTTTTGAAATAAAAATATGTCAGAATAACAATTTAGAAATTACTGAAAAACTTCTAAAATGCTCCAGAACTCTTCAAGCCAAGTTAGAGCACTCTAAAACTTCAATAAGCCATTTAGAACATTCCAAAACATTTACCAGCAGCATTTTGAAAGGCTCAGAACAATTTAAAAATTTCAGAATTATTTCAGAGAGCCTATAAGTGCCTGGAATAGACGAAAATTGACAGTTATAAAATGCGGTATCATAAGCGGAAAAAGTTAAGTGACGATTAACTTTCCGTTTGAACACGATAAAGGTTAAAAGCCAGGCGCAAACCAGAGCGGTGGCGGTGGCGAACGAATACTGCACATGTAAATAAATCAACGCGTGCATACTGCGGCGGACGGGAAAACGCGCCCGCCGTTCCTGCAGCGTTCTACCGCGGCTCTGCGGCGGTCACATTGCGATCGGCGGTAGAACGCTGCCTGCAGCATTTTTCCGCCTAGTTCGCTCGATCTGCATCAGAACGGCGAAGTGCAAACAAGTCGTGTGATAGGTACTGAAAAACTTAACGAGAAAGAAAAAAAAAAATAAGGCTTTTTCTTCCATGTCTTGGGTACTCATTGCGTACTTTTACACAGTGGCGTAACTAAGGGCCCGCAGTCGCGGAGGGGCCCCGTCGTTTTGGGGGCCCCGCAGGGCCACAAATAGTTTTTTTTTTTTTTAAATAGGTACTTCTAAGCCCGAATTAGATTCTATTGCTACGAGTTATTCCATTTAATCCATTTGATCTGAATTAAACATGTGGAACTTAACTTAGATCTAGTTTAACTGAAGACATTTCCGTATTATTCATTATTCCTATGTTCCTTATTTTTTGTTTTATATTCAAAATTTGATTAATGTATGTCTTCTGGTTTCTTATTTTTAAACGAGTTTTTGAACAACTGAAAATGGAAGCATTTTGTTTCATTCTACTACACTTTATTATGTAAATGCATAAGTATATTATTAAACAGGGTGTCCCACGACGTTTTAGCCAGGTGATAACTTCGAAACGCGTCATCCAATATAATTGAAATTTTGAGGATCTGGGGTAACTTTTTGTACCGCTTCTACATATGTGTCATACAATTCCACCATTATCGCTTCAGTTTCGGTCAAGTGATGGCAACTTCATATCAGAACTTTAATAGCATCAAACGGCGGTTGTTGGGATGGAACACGCCGATGATATGGTTAGAATAGCCAACGATGTACAAGAACTACAAAGCATCTTGGATTCCGTAGTTCACTATAGCGAAATGTTTGGACTGTATCTCAATGTTTCCAAGACCAAACTATTGGTCTTTTCCAAGACTCCAATAAATGAACACCTGCGTGTCGAAGAACAAACAATCGAACAAGTGACCTCAATAAAATATTTGGGAGCTAACATCAATAGTCAGTGCGATAATACTTTCAAGGATTGAACAAGCGAGGAAAATTTTCATGAGTATGAAAACACTCTAGACCTTAACTTGGAACTCAGAACTCGAATGATCAGATGCTACGTTTCTCTGTCCTACTCTATGGATGTGAAAGCTGGACACTAGATTCACAGACCGAAAAGAGAATAGAAGCCTTCGAAATGTATGTGTATAAACGGATGCTGCGAATTTCATGGGTACAAAGGATCACCAACGATGAAGTACTCCAGCGCATGCCCAAACAAAAAGAATTACTGAATACCATCAAGGAAAGAAAAATGCAATATCTGGGTCATATGTAATGAGAGATGATAGATACGAAATACTACGCCTCGTATCAAAATACATGGGAAAAGATCAGTAGGAAGACGCCAGGGGCCGGATTCTCGTCTTAAGGGCTGCGTTCAGATTGAACGTCGGGTGTCGCCCGAGCGCGTTCTGACCGTTCAGATTGCTTTGGGTAAAATTTACCCAGCCGTTCAGATTGTCAGTAGATTTTTACCGGACGACGCCCGGACGCACACTTTTGCGTCCCATAAAATAGCAAGATAAAATTTGCCCCGCATGCGCGTTTGTGTTCTAACCTTAAATAATAAAGGCAAATATTGTAAATAATTATTTTTGCGAGTTATGGTGGGTTTATCCAAATTCTTCGTTATCCTCATCAACTCTATTTAAAAAAAAAGTGGCCTCTTTTTTTTTGTTTAGTTTGTGATGCTAAATTGATAGCAATCACTGACACTAGCACATCCTCGTGGTCCGAAGATGAAGCGTCCTCATCATTAAATAACTCTTTAAATATGAAGGAAGATACTATGGCTTCTTCCATAGTTAGTATTTATTTAAAAAATTTTGAAGAAAATGGCAAAAATGTTAGAATCAGTGAGGTTATAAAGAGAAAATGCGTCTTGGCCGTTCAGATTGGGCGAATCGCCGGGCACACTCGGAGTGCGCTCTCTATCGGGTGCGCTCTTCACTGGACGTCGTCCGGACTCTTCAATCTGAACGCGCCCAAGGAGTAGAGCTCCTCGATAGAACGAATGTTTTGTCCTTGACAACGTAATCGGAAAGTAAATGAAAATAATAAAGACGATAAATTTGTTCTCTCGGGAGTCGGGGAGCTCTACTCCCTGACCCGAGAAACGGCTCTCAGAACTCATGGCTAGTTGCAGTTTCCAGAGCTACAATTGCCATTTGGATCGCCAACCTTCGGCAGGAGAGGGCGTGATAAGAAGAAGAAGAAGATGGCAATTTCAGAACCTTAAATGTTACTTATGGTATATTATGATGGCATTTTTCGTTGGAATATTAAATTACAAAATCGGCAATGCCATATTTGTTAATACTTTGTTGAAGAAAATGATAA